CATGCGGTAAGTTTAAGAAGGCTTTTTTTTTTTTTTTAATTAATACAATTAAAGGGTGAAAAATGTGATTATTAAGATTTAAATTTTAAAATTTTTTTTGTACATTATATATTAAATTATTAATTAATTTAATTTTAAATATTAATATATCTTATTTTATTTTAAAATTTGATATTTAATTTATAAAAATATCATAATTTTAAATATTAATATATCTTATTTTATTTTAAAATTTGATATTTAATTTATAAAAATATCATAATTTTAAATATTAATATATATATTTAATATGATAAATTTTTAAATTTTAAATTAAAATTTACTTTTTAAATATAAATTAAAATTTTAATTATTTTAAAAATAATATAAAAAATTATCACTATTTTATAAAAAAGAACTTGGATGTTTTCTCCCTTCCTTTGGCCAACAGCTATATCACTACCCCTGATTCAACAGTTTAAGAATTATTATTATTTTTATAATTGAGTTTAGCAATTAAGCGGGCCCGGCATTTATTTTCGGCTACAAGAGACAGTGGTGAGTATTGAATTAGCACATATGCCTAGCCTATCCATCTCTAGAAAAATATCCATCTCTAGAAGGCTGTGCATCCCAAGCAGGCCAAACATTTGAAAAGAACTTACCACGGGAATTGTGAAGATATAATCTTAAATCTATATATTAATACATTAGGTTTATAAATATAGAATTTTTTAATTTATATTTTTAAGGTGTAAGTTAAATCTTATTAAATATAATATTTTTAATTAATTTTATATAAAATTTTATATTAAATTTAATTAAAATAAAATATAAAAAATATAATATAATATTTGTACTCAAAATTTATAAAAATATATAAATTTGATATAAAAATTTACATAAAATTAATTAAAAATTTTATATTTAACGAAGATTAATCTATACCATAAGGATACATATTAGACTAACCTTATAAATATTAACAAGTGCTGTGTTATAGTTTGCTACCTTGGGATCTTACTTGATCAGATCTTTATAGGTATACTCCTCTATTTAATTTTACTTGGGTTAGTTTGATTTTTCAACTTTTAAATATAAATTTAATATAAAGGAAAATTAAAATTATTTTAATTAAATGAAACTACTTATAACTAAATATAAGAAAGAGAAAAATAAAAAATAAGAATATTAGCATTTAAAATATTAAATTTTTTTATAAAATTATTT